CACACACATATATCTCATAGGTGATGCTATGCAGACTGGTGGCTAGGTACACAGGCCCACTGCATGCTTTTTTATGGCCACAAAACTATTCATTCGATAGATGTATGCTAAGCAGCTATACATGGTACATATAGTATATATTATGATTTCATTTGCAGATAAGCCCTGGGCTGCCTTTTTAAAATGCATAACATCATTTACAGCCATCTAAAACCCAGTGAAGTGCCAACCCACTGTGAAAAGGATATCTCAATTCAAGTTATCTCTGACTGGTAATCAACAGAGTAAACAGAACAATAATACCTTTAGAATGCACAGCTTAGTTATTTGGACTTGGTGAACTTGACTTTAATGACTTTCAAAAGCTGCAGAATTAATTCTCCTTGTATACAGTATCTTTTAAAAAATTGTTTATCTCAACTCAAAGCTGAAAATTACAGAAGTTTTAAATAACCTAGTGGGTCATCCAAATTAGGGTAAAGCTGATAATCTATTGCAAATACATGTGCTTCTCTGCAAATCAGCAGATTTTGACAAAGGGATCAGTACATCTAAGATAACATTTATTACCCAATACACATTCCATTTATGTACAATATATGCATTATGATGAACACATTCGCACTGGGGAAGTAAATTTTATATCAGCATTAAGAAATGTAGCAGACTACACAAAGTTTGTTTATCCAATAGTCAGCTGACAACCTTAAGTAGCTATAACAGCTGGACAGCCAGGAAGTAAGGACAGGAAGACAGAGACAGAGAGAAATAGAGGGAACGGGAGACATAGAGAGAAATAAAGAGAGGAGAAAAAGGTCAAAGCCCCTGAGTGATCAATAGAGAGAGCTTTACTCATATGAGAGCCTTCAGGCCCCCCACTCAGAGCTTATTTACTCTTAGTTTATATACAAACCAGACATGCCTAATTTTGTCTACTTCTAAGGCACACATTGCCATCAGACATGATGGTTCACAGCCTGGAAATTAGACATAAGACAGGTAAATATATACCAGAACCTAAAAATACTTCATTCAAAGATGGTTACAATTTTTGAAAGTGTTGATGTTTACAGCAGTAAAAGCTTCAGCTAGCTAAGAAATCACCTGAAGTGAAATGACGCCTTGTGGGATGATACCAACTACCTTCTTGGTTTGCCCAGGACTGAGTGCTTCCTGAGACTCAGGATATTCAGCGCTAAAACAGATTAGTATACATGTATATTGAATAGATATGCCATAGATACACATAAAATGTGGATAAAGTAGGTTTTATACACATTGTGCAGTTAGAAGGACATCATAGGGTCTTTATAATGGGACCTCTGCAACGATGGTAACACACTGAAAAGTGACTTCGTAGATGAGATATTGATGTTGGTGGGTCCCAGTAGCCCTTGATTATTACATCACTAGAAGGTTGAGCCTGTCACTAGGCATCAGGGGGCAGGAAAGCTCAGGCCACAGATTCACTAACAGATCCCATCTCTTTCTCTGCTTCCTGTGGGCTCATAGGACAAACCTGGGAAAGGGCATTGGTCTTGTTCACTGCCGTGTCCCCAGCACAGTGCCTGGCATCTAGTCGGCACCCAGTAGATATCAGTTGAATGACTGAATGGACTGATGAGCCACATGCTTCAGAATATAGGACAGGGAATGGCTTTGTTCTCATGAAGCCAGCATCCTTTCAGGGTCTCAAACTGAAGAGTCTACTCAGAAGAGAGTCTTACTCAGTTACAAAGTGCTTGGCAGGAAAAACGATCACTCCTTGCCCCACCCCTGCACAATGGCTTGATGCCCATTAGCCTCTAGAAAAAGTGGCACTTTTGGCATAAGAAAGAATCTAAGTCAGCCAACCAGAGAGCTTTGCTACCCGATCTTTAATTTTGCCAATCTCTGTGGAGACAGTTGTATGTGTGTAGATCAGAGGCAATTCACTACTGTGGCTGTGCTTTGACCCTGAGTTGTGGTTGGGGCAGCCTTAGCTCTCTGCTCAAAGTTACTTCCATAATCTGTCACCAGAGGCCTTGGCTCATCTCACCTGGTTTTTCTAGTTCATTTTCACACTTTTCCTACATAGTTTGTGCTGGACCCATTTTAGAAATGAAGAACCAGAGGTAAACAAGATATCTTCCAAGTAATTGAAAAATGAGGGAGTAGGGGCAACTGGGTGGCTCAGTCGGTTAAGCGTCTGCCTTCAGCTCAGGTCATGATCTCAGGGTCCTGGGATGGAGCCCTGTCAGACTCCCTGCTCAGCGGGGAGGCTGCTTCTCCCTCTCCCTCTGCCATTCCGCCTGCTTGTGCTTTCTTTCTTTGTCAAATAAATAAATAAAATCTTTAAAAAAAATGAGGGAGTAAATAAAATGATTTCCTCTTTTGTTTTCCATATCAGGGTCCCTTACACCCCCAGTTCTCCACTGCTCATTCTGATCTCCTCAGCCCCTCAGCTAGAGGATAAAAGTGTGGAATATATTTGTTTGCAAAAGGCTCTGAAAGAGAAAGTTGAATCCAACTGCTGTTTCTTTCTATAGATTTAATTACTTTTCCTTTTCTCCAATCATAGTAAATCTAAAGGGAATTATTTGGAAATAGTTCCCAGGCTGAAAAAAAGCTATCTCACATGGGAGAAAAAATGTGACCACTAGAGTAAGCTGCCCTTGGCTTTTTAAAAATTTTAACATATTGTACCATTTGCAGTTGGGAGAGCAAAGACAAGTGGCCTGAAATCCAAGGGTGGGGGTTCTGGATATGAGTATTATCTATTTAAGCCAAATTCTGAGGAGTGTGTGTGTGTGTGTGTGTGTGTGTGTGTGTGTGTGTGTTTGTTGGGGAGAGACAATGGAGACTTAAACATCACTTTGTGGCTTCCATGGCTGTTGAAATAGAACATTTTTGTTGCAGCTATCTATAGGGAGGAGGGCTGGGGAACTAGAGAATAAAGATAGTCCAAAGCCAAGTTGGGGAAGGAATGCACAGTGTGGGAGGTAAGGTGTGGAGATGGGAAAGAGTGATAGGTATTCAGTGATATGTATCGAAGTGAATGAAAAGAACAGATTGAAGAATGGGGGTGCTGGGGGGATGGAGAGAGGCAAGCAGGGTTCTGGGACCAAACCCCTGAGAGGACTCGGCAGTATTTTGAAATTTCTTCCATTTCTCAAGTCATTCTGTTGATAATGGCAAGGCTTCCTCTCTGTCCAGCTTGAAAGAGAGCCCTCACCAATGAGCTTGCAAAGATTGGTGGAGTAGGTAACGTGGCTGCTACGTTCAGAGCCTGGTGCAAGGGCGTGCTGAGGTTATAAAAAAGAGAGACCCCTTCCTGTGAAGCATATAGGCTAGCTGGGAAGACAAAGCAGAAATATATGGAAAAGAAATTAAACTACTTTAGACAGTGACATGGAGGGAAATCACCATGCGGTGGAGATGGGTGGTTGAGGAGAGATTAGAGAAGAACATGATTAAACCTGGAGCTGGGTGAATAGCTGGCTGGCTCCTAAAATACTCCTAATTTGCTCTTGGCTAAGGGCTCCCTGAAAATCATATGGATGTTCTCCCCTTCCCTAAGAGGGCTCTTCTCAGACCAAAGACTTGCTTTTCTAAGCAGGAATGGCAGGGCCCAGAGAGAGGTTCTAGAAATAGATGAACTCTGCATCAACTTTTCCAGCTTGCTCAGTGACCTCCAGGACTCCTGCTCCAGTTCCACTGGGATGGAAATGGCTTTAAAGAAACTTGAAAAAGGACATGGGCTAATGGCACAGGTTTTGATTTTCAGGTTGTATTACCATTAATAATAAGCCCAGCCCACTTTTTGGCAGGATCCAGGAGCCTAAGCAGGGCCCAGGCCGCTGTTACAACTTTGTAATAATTGAGCACTGTTTATGACAGACTCCATTATGATATCAGGATTACGACTTTGTAATAATTGAGCACTGCTTATGACAGACTCCATTATGATATCAGGATCAGCTTATTGATATATGACCACGAGGGGATGGGCTGTAGGCAGTTGGGGGTCGGAGAGGTGCGGGGAGGGGGGCGGGACTAGTGTCAACCTGGAGTAGCTCTACAGTGACTGCAGCAGCCTGCTGTTGCTGGAACACCCACACAGGCAATTTAGCTGGCAAAGGGACACTGGAGACTGGTTGGCAGCCGGCTCTTCTTTTTCAAGGTAGGCATTGAGAAGGCATCAAGATCAAAACCCCTATTAAGATAAGATTTTGGTACCTGCAGGCAGGTTTAACACAGCTAAAGAGGGGGTGGAGAGTTAGCTTAGAAAAGGGAGCATTCTCTTTTCTTTCCCTTCTGTCAAGTCTGTATATATTTTTTGTAACCCTCAGCATGGGATAAGAAAGCCTTTATTTAATAGGCTCTTGAAGGAGTCCTACTCAAGGAGATGCCATTGTGGATCAATCCACTAGAGGGCGTGTTTCACAGAGCCTGACTAAGGTCCGGGCAAGAATTGATATATTCCGACAAACCAATAGATGAGACAGGAGCCCTGCTCTCACCAGAAAGGGATCTTAGCCAGGGACACGAGTTCCCGGAGGTAGTTTTAAACATGTTTTTAGTGTGGACATATGGTCGGGGCACCCCAGGAACAGCTGAGGTGGGAGGTGTGTGTTAGGAAGAGAGAAAAGTCTTAGTGCTAGAGTGGCCCCAGTAGGCTGGAGCCAGCAGGGTCAGATCATCATTTTCTCTACCTCCCAGAAGTTATAGTGCATCTCCTCTGGCTTGACAGCCTCCAGGTTGGGCAGAAAACAAGGAGTCAGAGCTCAAGGTAGACCAGAACTGTGTCTGATGATTAAGGGGCCAGTATGTAGCTCAGCAAAGGCTTTTGACTTTGCTTATAATTGGGCACTTGCTTCCAGGTGAGTGGCCCAGGCACCTCTGTTGTCATGACAACATACCTAGCACCCATTGTCTGGGTAATGGGGAGGGGCAAACTGCCTGTTGTTCGGGGCATCAAGCTTTCTATTTCCCCAGGTGATCATTCTACTGTAGAAGAAATGGGGTTAACAAACAAGAGTGAGGGAGAACAACAACTCACACCCAACAACTCTGATACACCCAACAACTCTGACGTGCCCAATGAAGAACAAGGCGAAGAAATCCAACAGCCAGAAGAGGCAAGTAGTGGTTTTCCAATTCCAGCTTAACTATAGGGACCCTTTTATAATGCTCCCCTAGAAAGGTCCCTGTGCATGACTCTTGGATTCTTAACCACCAATCAATGTATGGCAACCTGGGGTATCTTCCACCTGGGTGAGGGGAGAGCCAGGAACAACCATTACTACTAATTCTCAAAATAATCTCATATTGACTAACTTGATAAGGCTCTGATGTGAGCTAACCTTTTTTTCAGTGCTTACTATGTGCCAGGAACGGTGCCCAGGTTCTCTCTCTTTTTAAAAGTTTATTTATTTTTAAGTAATCTCTACACCCAACATGGGGCTCAAACTCATGACCCTGAGATCAAGAGTCGAATACTCTTCTGACTGAGCCAGCCAGGGCCTCTGTTTGTCCATGCTCTTAATCACTTTCCTAGACTGCCCTACAGGGATTAATGTCCCATTGGACAGATAAAGAAATGGAATCAAAGAGGTTAAAGTACTCAGTTTATCTATGACCAACCTAGGACTAGAATCCAGGGTTCCTGATTGCCTTTTTAGTCCTTATAGCCCTATATGGAGTCTTGGTTTGTGGGAGGAGTAGTAGGGAAGAAGGAGTCCAAAGGAGAAAGGAAGTGGGCCCCTCCCTAGTTATATTTACCATGCGTTGGCGCCTCTGCCTTCTTCGAAGTCGTATGAATTCCTTATGCTGACGAGAGACAAAATTGACAGCAGCGTACTCCAGTAGTGCAGCGAACACGAAGAGCAGGCACACAGCCATCCAGATGTCGATTGCCTTCACGTAGGACACCTGCAACATCCACCAACAGAGCAATCAACCTTCTTGGAGCCCTTCCATGGCCCATCCAGTGGTTCGCCAGCCCATACCAACTGCCTGCTATTCTTCAGTTTTATCCTGAATTTCTTCTGGTGTTCAAAGAAGCTTTCCACGATATGTCCCATTGCCTGAAGGCCCATGTCAAAGAGATCGGGCTACCCATCATCCTTCACCTCTCTGAACTCTCCACCCTCCACTTCTATCTGACTTTCCTCCCTACACTTCTTTTCCTTTCTTTCTTTGTTCTTTTCATACTTCTGTTCCTGCTTCTGCTTCTTATTATTCTTTTCATTCTTTTCTTCTTCTGATTCTCTTCTTTCAATAAACAGCAACGAACATGAACACTGCATTTGTTTGCCTTCTGTATCTCCTAGGGTCCTCACAGCTCTGATGGAAATTGGGCAGGGTTTGTCATTCCCATGTGAAACATGTGAGGACACTTGAAGCCTATAGAGGAAAAGTCTTAGCTGAGATTGCCCAGTGAGGAGGTGTCACTACGATTTGGGGGTTCTGGGCTTTCAATTTAGTGGCACTGCCATTCACCTAGGCTGCAGTCTCAATATCAGATTAGGAATTCCTTCCTTTCCCTCCTCCACCCCCATTATTCTCTTGACTGTGGTTTTTCCTGCTGATCTTTATGAGAGGCCCTGCTGAAGAATTGAACTCAGTGGCCCAAGGGAGTGACATCCAACCCCCAGCTATGGATAATTCTCTAATTTCAAGGCACTGTTAGCATCTACCTATCTGGTTCTTAGGGCTCTCCTTCCACTACCTACCTGCCTTGGAAGCCTTTAAATACTTTTCTCTCCCATTTCCCTCATGACAATTGAACACCTACCTCTCCTAGAATGGGGTTTCAGCTGGATGGGGCTGGGAGGGGTACAGAACTTAGGTTTATGAAGTCCTTTCACCTCCTCAGCCAGATGGACTCCCTATATAGTTTTGAGCAGCTGAGCCCACCTCATAGGGCTCCCCAGTAGGAGTAGGTTTCATGACAGACAACCTCTTTCACCAGCTATGTTGGGCAGCGAGGGTGCTACAGGCTCCAGGTAAGGAGCAGGTCTCACTGGATAACCTTCCACCTTAGTAGTTCTTAACCTGTGATGCCCCCCTACCCCGCCTCCTCACCTGAGTGGCATTTGGCAATGTTTAGAAACATTTTTGGTTGCACAATTTTGGGAAGGGTTACTACTGGCATCTAGTGGGTGGAGGCCAGGGACAATGCTAAACATCCTATAATGCACAGGACTCCCCCCTCACACACACACACACACACACACACACACATACACACAACAATTATAAGGTCTAAAATGGCAATAGTGCTAAGGATGAAAAAACCTGCTCTGTCTCCTTTAAGGCAATTCCGCTAAGGTGGTAGTGGTGGGTTGCTAGGCACCCCTGATTAAGTATCCCTTGGTGTTTCCACTTTGCCACCTATTAAGAGGGCAACCTATTTCATTCATCATCTCCCAGTCTCACTATGTCGACTAAGTGCTATGAAAACCCATAATGAGGTAATGACAAGGGAAGTCCACAAACGGCTTTGGACCATCAAAAGAAAAGGACACCTTAAGCAGTAGAAATAAAATCTTATTAATAATGAGTGTGTCAATAATGGAGTTGTATGGGGAGTGAAATTGTTGTGCCTTTCAGAAGCCTCTGAATTTGTCCCATCTCTTTCCTTAGGGCTCCCACTAAATCTAATGTACAAACTCAAGGGAGCAGAAGCTCCCTGACTTAGTCCCTTGCTTTGTGGGCTGGCCAATGAGTCTATTTAGTTTGGGGTGAATGCCTACATATTTTGCTTACTGGCCAATGAGGCCACAAAAAGGTCATCAAGATCTGATGAGAAGGCACCAAATACTGCAAACAAACAACCCTCCTACAAAGTCCATTTTTTTCCGAATGAGGAAACTAAGTGAGTCCTAGGAGCAGACAGATTGTGCTTGTTCACAGGAGGGGGCTGGAAAAGGAAGTTCTCTTGGCAAGAATGAGGCACTAATTGCAACCTCTCCGGGTTAGAGAAGAATCTCCTTCTTGCGTGGCAGCTGCAATAAACTAGGACACATTTCTAAGATCTTAACTACTTTTCTGCCTCTAGTCTTCCTACAAGGCTACTACCACACCACAGCCATCACAGCCCCTCCTGGTCCTTGGTCCTTGCCTAAGCCCCATCTGTCTTTCAGAGCCTCTTCAATACCCCTGTCCATTTAGGAAACACATTTATAAGAAATAATTTCTGACAACTTCCTCTGAGACCCCTGATCCTAATCTGAGCTTTGTCATCATTTATTACTAGAGGCCTTTGGATTACCTCAAAAGTTTCCCAGCAACTCAAAAATAATTGGGAACTTCACTGGCTGCTCTAGCCCTAGGTCCACCACTCCATTCTTTTCACCCAAACACCTAACAATTATAACAACGAACATTTATTGAGTGGTTATTAGGTGCTAAACACTGCTGTCTGTGTTAATACAATTATTTATTTCTTGCAATAACCCTATGGAAGAGATAATATTCTTATTCCCATGTCACAGGTAAAAAGACTGAGGTTAAGGAATTTAACTAAGATTGCCATTGGTAAATGATGAGGCTGGGACCAAAATCTGCTTGACTCCAATCTCCTACTCTTTTTTTTTTCTTTAAATTTTATTGTTATGTTAATCACCATACATTACATCATTAGTTTTTGATGTAGTGTTCCATGATTCATTGTTTGTGCTTAACACCCAGTGCTCCACGCAGAATGTGCCCTCTTTAATACCCATCACCAGGCTAACCCATCCCCCCCCCCCCCTCCCCTCTAGAACCCTCAGTTTGTTTTTCAGAGTCCATCGTCTCTCATGGTTCGTCTCCCCCTCCAATTTACTCCCCTTCATTCTTCCCCTCCTGCTATCTTCTTTATATTGCATTATTTGTTTCAGAGGTACAGATCTGTGATTCAACAGTCTTGCACAATTCACAGCCCTCACCATAGCACATACCCTACCCAATGTCTATCACCCAGCCACCCCATCCCTCCCACCCCCCCACCGCTCCAGCAACCCTCAGTCCCAATCTCCTACTCTTAACCACTACACCACCCCCATGGCAAATTTGTAAATTCACCATGGATGCCCAGATAACCCCCTGTTTAAGTCCCCTGTAAATATCTTCTTAGGAATAAGCACTGGGCCTGGTTCCCATCAAATCAAAATGAGAGGGCATATGTTCACAGTAAGATCCACAAGGAACTATGTTGCTTTTGCTTCCCATTATTTCTCCATGGCCTAAAATAGTGCCTGGTACATAGTACATGCTCAATAAATATTTATTGAATGAATGAATAAGCTTACTCCCTGATTTCTCAGAGCCTTGCTGAGTGTAAGGACATTGACGTGACCTCTAAATTTCATACATGAAGGCACAAGGCAGGAAGAACCTGGGCCCAGTCTCATAAGCACAAATCTCTCTGGGTAATCAGAGCATCACCAGGCCACAGATGTTCAGAGTCCACTGACTTTAACTGCTATTTGCTACCTCAAAATTTCCCCACCCTAAAAGAATGGACATTATCTCTAGAGGTCTTTGTAATAGTGTCCAGCTTCTGACATAGTAAGAGACAGATGTTGGTTTAAAATCCTTATATATATATATTTTTCTTATGGGGCATGACCTTGAAAAGGTCGTTCTATCTCTCTGGGCTGTATTTACCTCATCTGTACCATGAGGGAGTGGGACTCTCTACTTGCTAAGGGTCTTTTGATTTTGGACATGCTAGTATTTCCTGATGAAATTTAGAGTAAGTCAGGCACTGTTTCTACTCATTCCCTAGCCAGACAACACCCACAACCCCAGCTTCCACATCTTTAGCAATATCATTAGCCGTATGTTGTAGGGGAAGAGAAAACTCTGGCCACCTGTTCTTGCTCAATGGCTCTCGTCTACCTTAAATCTAAGGCAAATAGTGAGCAGAAGAGAACAGGGGATGAAAGGGAAATGGGGAGCTCTATGGCAAGCAAGGTCCCTTGCATCTTTCTTCACCTTAGGCAAAGAGGCCCGGGAGCCAGAGCTCTGAGTTGTCATGGTGAGCACAGTGGTGATGCCTAGGCCCACACGGGCAGGGGCAGCATCCATGTTGATCCAGAAGGAGACCCAGGACAGGATGACAATGAGTAGGCTGGGGATGTACATCTGAATCAGATAGTAGCCCATCTGCCGCTCCAGGTGAAACTTTACCTCGATGCAGGTGAATTTCCCTGCAAGGAAAGAGGTGATGTATCAGGCCTCAAGTCCCCAGCCTGGAGCTGAGCCTGAGGGGCAGGACTAGGGCATCCCTATGGGCACCTCAACTGGGCAAATAAATGAGCTTTTCAAGATGGCCCCACGAGCACCAAATGCATGTTCTGAGGAAGTTCTCAGAGCAGTCATCAAAGACTTGACCTCTTGCTCTAAGCACTAGTTTCCAGCAGAAGGCCTTCCACTTGACCACACAGCAAGAAGATTAAGAACAGAAGGGCTCTAGAGCCAGAATGCCTGGGTTTGAATCCCGAACCTTCCACTCACTAGCTGTGTGACCTCAGGCAAAACACCCAAGCTATTTGAGCTTCAGTTTCCTTGTCTGTAAAACAGAGTAACAACAATATCAATTCCATCATTGTAGGAATTAAATTAAATAATGTATCTGGGGAGTTGAGCTATAGGTAGTTGGCACTATCATCATTATTAACAAAGCAATGAGTTTAGACTCTGCCCAAATCTCAGCAGCCTTGCTTGAGCTTGCTGGTACCCCAGAAGATCTCTAGCAACAATGATTCACTGAAATAAACATTGCCTGTGTCTCAAGCAAGTGATAAGAGCTGGATAGGAAATATCTGGAAAGAGTGTCCAACAGAGACCAGCTCTGGACAGTGGGCAGTGGGTACCCAGAGAACATCAGGCAGCAGCATTCTATCCCACCATCAAAAAGTGCATTGGTCCAAAGCACATGTACCTGTGCTCTGTCTACTCTGCTAGCCATCTTCATTTTGCCCAGCTTCCCATGCCCTCAGGCTAAGAAAACCTAGCTCAGAGCTTCTCCCTGTGGCAGAGGTATAGGATAACCAAAGCAAAAAGCAAAGGATGTGTATATTGCTATTTTATTCTGGACTAGGCTTGCTCTTATCAGACCTGATTCCTCAAGGCTAGTAATTTCATCAATGATTGATTATGGCTTTGACATACTATGTGATGCTGTGATCTCCTACTGTTCCCTGAGTCCACCTCATCCCAGGCTTCTTATTATGACATAGCTTTGCTAGGTACCATATTTTCTTTGCTTCCTTCC